CTAGTTTTGAAAACACATTTAAATATTTAAAAAAAAAATTACGCTTAAAATATTACTAACAATTTTTTTTTTTGTAAATTATTAATAAATATTAATGATTTAGAATATAAAACTTTATTTAATAATGATACTTATGTTCGACTCAAATAACCATTTTAATAATGAAAAAATGTTGGTTGTAGAGCCTGTTGGAGACAAACCTGTCTTGTAGATATTAATTCCGCCATATTATTCCACCTGCGCTTAACACGGCTCATATGCAAACCATACAATTGAATACTATTAAATATAAAGTAGTAAAAATATAACATTATTAAAGTAATAATTAATTAATTTGCATATTTCAAGTCAATTTTATTCATTTTTCTTCTTTTCAATATGCATTGAAGTAGACCATGTTGTATCTAAATACTTCCACATACATACCTACTTGTTTTCAGATGAATATGATAAAATACTGCTTTGGCCTTTATTACAAAATAATTGCACTATTGAAAATCAATAGTACTACTAATATTTTGTTTAAAAATTCAATAACATTAAGCCCCCTCCTAAATGAATATTATTAAATAAAATACATGTTTTAATTCTTTTATAATGAAAAATTTTGTTAGTCCATAATCTTAACAAATTATATGTCACATACTTGTCCCATTGGCATGTCCATCCATCTGGTGCAACTGACTCTTCTAAAGTACATAACTCGATAGCCATTTCATCCAACCACTTTGAGAAATATTCGTCATTCAAAGAATTATCTTTCCATGCTTCCATTAAAGTCTAAAAAAACAATATATTATTATAAACTTAAAAGAACGCTATACCCATATATATTGTTTTTATCTTACAAAAACATATAATAAAGTAAATTTTTGTTTAGTAGCATCAACTTTGTATTTTTAGCTTAAATATTGGAGTAAAATAACCTATTATTAAATTTTATTGAGACAAAATTTGTGTTTTCTCATTAGTTTTTTTACAATATTTTAATTTTTAAGAGTTACGAAAAATGTAAAATATTAATATTTAAAATACTTATAATTTACTTAAAAATCAAAAGTATTTTAAAAAACAAACGAGAGAACACAGATTATGTTTATATCTTTAAGTTTGATGATAGGTTATTCATTCTAATACTTAAGCTAAACGCATAAAATTGGTTTTGTTAAACAAAAAATTGTCATGTTATTTATTACAAATTAAATAAAAATTAAAAAATGATTGTGGCAAAAAATTATTATGATTATTATAAATAATTGATAAATATAAACATGAAATTGCTATTTTCTTTAATATTTTACATAATAATCTATTTTTTTAAGGATTAGAGAAAATTAAAATTAAAATTTCAAGGTTGCTCCATATGTTATGTTAAACTATGTTATATTTTACTATAAAAGTTATAATTACTGCTGTATATATACTATTATAATGATAAAATTTGGTTTAGCTTAGATAAAATTAAACTTACATCAATTTTAATAGTCATAACTTGAACGGATGACAATTTTTCATTATTTTCACAATCTGACAGAAAATGTAATTTTGATGAGATCAGTAATGATAAATCTTCAATATAGTTTTTAGCTAAAATTAAAATATTACTTTAATAACAATAAAAAATATTAGTTTAAATTAATAACAATGCATTACATTTTTTCATATCACAATTTTTAATAGTATCTTTTTCATGTTTTGTCAAAATATTATTTTTATTGGAATTATGATTATCATGTACATTTATTGTTTCGCCTTTAACAAAATTTATAGAACCTCCTTTTTTATAGCTGGAAGAAACAGAATAACCAAATCCAATTTTAATATTAGCACATGGATCTTGGACATATGACAGCGATTTCTCGTTTAATTCACTTTTTTGATCATCTGTAATATTATGATAAAATAATTTTATTTATTAATATATAAATAGTTAATTCACTTATACATATTTAATTTTCTATTATCAAATAAGATATGGTGATTGTATTCATTAATACTTAGAACTAAAACAATTTTTACCTAAATCTTCAGAGTCATCTTCGCCATAACTAGCAATTAAGTTAATAGATTTTAATGAATTTTCTTTAAAAGAATCTGAAGTCAAATTGTTTATTTTTTCATCAGCATTTGAATCATTAACAATGGTTTTCGGATGCAGTTTATTAGTTATATTAGTATCCAACGGAACAATTAATTTATTTTCATCTTCAGTATTATTGTTTAAAGTGTCAACAGTATAATCAGGAGGTATTTCACTTTTTAAAATATCAAAAATATCACCAGTAGCTTTCTTTTCTGAAGATTTTGATGTATTAGATTTTTCTAACAAATAATCCGGTGGTACTTCTTTGTCAATAATATCTAAAATATCAGGCTGTCCATTTATTTTACATGGACCAGGTGATGTAGATTTAGGTAATTTAGCTAATTCTTTTTGTTTGAACATTTCAGCTTTTTGTTGCAACCTTTGAAGTATAGTAGTTTTTTGATCCTTATCATCTTCATTCTCATCCTCACTTGAATCACTTCCATAAGCTACTAATGCACTTAAAACTTTAGATTCTAGTTTTGATTTTTTAGAACCATTACATGAATTTGGATCAAGAGTAGGTAAAGAATCACTTGAAAGCCGTTTTCTGGAATTTTTAGTCTTGTTTAAAACATCTAAAACATTATTTCAGCAATTAGTAACAACATTAATATTAAGATCATAATTCATAGTACATAATCAGTTATATAATATTACATTTTATTAATTATGTTCAATATACCTTGGTTTTCAATACTATGTGCTGTTTCATAATGTTCAGGTTTTTCCCATGTGACTTTATTTGTATGGGTATTCCAATAGTAAATAAATCCTGATACATCATCATAACACTCCTGCCATACTACATAAAAAAATATACAAAATATATTTTACTTTAATATCTAAATTAAGTAGGTAATTATTGTAAACAAACCATAATCAGAATTATTATGTTCCATTGTATTCATAATTTGTTCTTTAACATTATTGACATAGTTTTCAACTTCTCGAGATTCTATAAACAAAAAATTATTTAGTATAGATTAATAAGTGTTTTCAATAAAATCATAAATATAGTTTTATCATAAAATAAATGTGATCAGATATTGATCAATATATCATAAGTTATTATAAAAAATTAATAATTGTATACATTTTAAAATTTTTTATAACTTAATTATTTTATTTAATATATATTAAACATATTTACTCAATAATTATCTAGAAAATAACACTAATAGTATGCTATAAAGAAATTAATTATAAAAACTATAAAAAAAAAAATTAAGACTAAATGATGATTAGAAAAAAACATAGAATTAGTTTAATTTGAAAACTACTCAATAAAAGTTAAAACTATTAGATGGTTTTGAGAAATAATGTTTTTAATAAAAATAATAATCAGAAAAACAAAAACAAATGGTTCTATTAGTGCCCAAATAAAGTTCGTAGAATGTAAATAGTACATCAGTTCATACAAAAATTATGTTTTAATGTCTGACTTAACCTAAAACGGCAATCACGCGAGAAAACGATGTCACAATCAGACTGTTAAACAATCGCTTAACACCGCGATTAACTGTTCAAATTTGTTAAAAAGAGCTATTGTAATCATAATAATCAATAAAATTTGAGTCCAAGTCTTGGCGTTAGCTTTTGTCGACTTACCTCCATCCGAAGAAGAGTGTGTCATGTCTAATTTCAGTTTTCTTCTGTTCATCGCGGAAACAGTGACGATCTTCTGCGATACAAATAATTTGTCAGACGGAAAAGCGCAAGCAGCCCGTGAAATCATATGCTCGTAGACGGCGATTCGATCGGAACGTATTTAATACGGAAACTCGAGAATCAGGAATCGACGGAAAACAGGAATTTCTATTTCTGTTGGCGTTGTCAAAAACAACTGGCACAGTACATTGTCTCGTATTTAGATGCACACACGGTTACGATGACGACCCAGTTTGCTGTTTCGATCTTCGACGACAATAACAATAATACAAAAAAGTTTAATGTATTAATCGCTATTAGCCAAGCACCACGACGTCTTTCAAACTTTTAGTATTGTAGTTTGTACCCTTTATGGTCTGTAATGTCTGTATTACTGTGTTGTAGACGAAAAATAAATAATTATTATCGCACTGTGATAAGGACCAGCGGATTGTTCGGCGCGTGACATCATACCACACGTCGAAACGAAATTACTCGCCAAACAATGTGACCAACTGACGACTATATTTATACTACATATATATATATTATGTAACAATCAATCTTATAAATAATATTATCATAGACCATAGTATTATCAGTCGTTAATTGTTTATGTTGCCCTCCAATAAATGTTTCTACTGTCAACTTATTTAAAAGCAAATTTATATTTGTTTTCGATTCTCGTGTGTAGTTTGCCTCGGCTGAGGACACTCACACTACGCGATACGTTGATTGCCAGCGTGTTTGGCTAGAATAATCGCCGATCGGATATCATTTTTCTCGTCCGATCGAAGTATACTACCACACGTGTTGAAATTTCAATCTTTCAATTTTCTCCCACCCGCTCGTCGTTTTAGTTCTTACGCATAGTAGGATACATACACGTGATGCGTGAGCGGCGATATTCTTCAACTGAGAACGGTAAATGAAATTTTTTTTCTCTTTTGAAACAATCTTAAACCAATCTATACCTATATTTCTGTCCGTCGCTGCTTTTGTCACAGTAACAATTATCGATTTCTTCTTATCCATGCTTAGTGCTAACGTCGGTTGTGCCGGTCTACGATTCGGCGCATAATCAATCTAAATTAAATCAATTATGCATGCACTACATTATCGTAATATCGTTTGAGTGTTATTACTATTATTACGCTCGAGACGGTGAGACATTCGACGCCATTCACATTTAGCAAGTGGTTTAGTAGAGCAATGTCATTACACAATCAGTTCTCATTTACGCAATAAGGAGGTACCTACTTAATAAGTAATAACGCGTCTCCGTCGTCAAATTCGCATAGGTTTTTCGTTCTTAATTCGGCCACTTCTCTTCATAATTCTCAGTAATCGTATCAAGTATTAATATATTATATTTCGACGAAATCTTTCAAACTCGTAATGTTCGGAATTCGTATAAATATAAATAATTATTATACATTTGTAAATTATAAGTAAATACCTACCTATAGTTTCTTTTTATTATTTCGTTACCGTCAATCTTGTGAATGATGAATAATGTAATATTTAATAATAAAACCTTTGAATCCGACTTCACACGATCATTGATTAATTAATATTGTAAGTACGTTTTTTAAAATATTTCGGTCTTAAGTGAAAGTACTGAAATGTTCCATATCAAAATAATGTAATATTTAGAAATACCTAACTTACCCATGATGATTTGATGAATAATAAAATAACAAATTTGTTCAAATTTCCTTAGAAACATCTAAAAGTTTATGATTCTTATCTCAATGTTTTATACAACATTTTTCTTCTTTGTAATGCATTTAAAAATTTAATTAGTCTTTTGTACAATGTTAAACAAATTCATGCTTATCAGATATTGCGCCACTCTTTTAATATTAGTATACCTATATAATAATAATAAATGCTAAGTATTAAGTTCATTAACAAATCCTTTTTGAAAAATTATAAGTATGAATATAAATTACTAACAATATCCGTCTATTTTAATTTGAATATATTTGGTTAGTGATTATTCAATAAAAGTAACATGTAAATAATTTAAATAATTTCATTCGTTTTGAACAACATACCTACTCTTTATCTACTTATATTATTTCTATGTTAAATTAATGTGTCTTTGTTAATATTTATTATCATAAACAATTTATATTTTGCATGGTATGAATAATTAATAGTATGTGCTTTATTGTTGTAGAAGACTTTTAAAATCGAATAACCTAAAAATTGGTATACTTATTTACATGTCATCAAAATTACATAACATTTATTTAAATAATAATAATCTATTCTGTTGATTAAACCATTAACGTCATATTATTACTCGGTATAAAAAAAAATATGATTATAAATAAATATATCTATATAATGATTTACGGAGTTGACCTTAATAGCAGATATCAAGCACAATTATTGTTAATGAACTGTTACAAATTAGGGATCACAAACTAAAAAAAAATAAGATTGATTTATGATTTTTTTATTTATCATATAATATACCTATCTACTTACAGTTTTCATATCCTGTAAAGAATTTCCCCTAAATAACTTTTCATTTATACCTTTATTGAATTGTTCAACAAAATAAATTATTATGTTCCAGAGCTCCTGATTATGTTACGACCTTAGACCTCATAACAATGCTACTGATAAACGACTATAAGTTTGAAATAACCAGCACTGTCGCAATCATGTTTATTATTATCATGTACACTTCTAGTCATGCTTTTCGTTACTTCGCCAAATTTACCATATTTACAGTATTGTCATATATCTCTGCAACTGTATTCATACCATTAATGTTATGGAAACCAAGAGACTACAGGAATGGATTGTAAATAGAAACGTGTGTATGTTTACATCAAATATTAAGCTTAATAGTTATTTATTATTTTATCAGATTACCAGCATGGGGTGGACGCCAAATATCAAAAGTATTAGGAATAAAATGGGAAATAAAGGGTAAAGAAAATATTGTACAAAATTCAGGTTGTGTTGTTTTGATCAATCATCAAAGTTGTTTGGATTTATTAGGTAAATTGTTTACTTGTGAAAATTGTTATTTTAAATAATAAACACCGTACTTTTTCTGATGACCATTTTTCAGTGTTGTCTGAAATATATCCAATTATGGAAAAATGCACTGTAATCTCCAAAAAAGAAATATTTTACTTTTGGCCTTTTGGTCTAGCATCATGGCTGTGGGGAACAATATTTATTGACCGTCTAAATGCAGAAAGTGCTCAGAAGACCCTTAATAAGACTGGAGAAGCTATTCGACATAAACAAGTAATTATAGTTAACCAGTTAACAGCATTACTTTTTTTAGAGCACTATTGTTTTCTTAATTTATTTTAATTTCCTAAAGAATGTTTTGATGTCTCTTTTATAATAAACATTTAAGTGAGAGAGTACATCATCAAAATTAAAAAAGGTACATCATTATAATAATAGTTAGTATCTTATTGATATTTTAAATTTTTGTTTAAATTAAAATCAGTACTGTTGAATTCTTTTATTTTTACTTATTTTTTGACAACAGGCAAAGATTTGCATGTTTCCTGAAGGTACAAGACATGGTGGACAAGAACTTTTGAATTTTAAGAAAGGTGCATTTCATGTTGCAATTTCAGCTCAATGTCCTATACAGCCAGTAGTCGTATCTCAATATTTCTTTTTGGATCATGGAAAACGTAAATTTGATTCTGGTAAGCAATAATTATTCTGTACTATTGTTAGTTATTCATAGAAATTCCTTTTACGTGTGGGTTTTTATGCTGTAATTCGCTGTAACACATTATCCAAATTGTTTACAATATGTATGTTTTAATTCACTTATCAATAAAAAAGAAGTATATTTTTATAAACTTACACATAAACGAGAGAGGTAAATTAACTTTAAAGAGTGAAAATTTTGCAAATTAGTAATTCATATAATTGAAAAAATGTTCTTAAGTAAATGCCTCAATAGTTTTTTAAAGGAATAAATTGGTTTTCAGATTAAGGCCTTTAGATTTCATTGCTTGTTTAAATGATTTACTTTCTAATGTTTTTGAAATTTTAACCAACTTAAATTATATTATTTCTATTATTATTATTAATATTTTTAATGTTCATCATATTATTTAAGGTCATACAGTCATAACAATATTGCCTCCAATACCCACTGAAGGAATGACCAAAGAAGATTTACCTGGTCTTATTGAAAAATCTAGAACTGCAATGCAAGAAATGTATACAAAATCTTCAGCAGAAGTTAAAACTAAATATTATGTCAGCTAAAATGATATTGTTGTTTTTGCTTCTGGTGTGAATAACTTTAAATAATTTAGTGTTTAAACGTGATTAAGTTCCACTGTGACTATGTATTAGCATCAAGTTCATAGTTATTTGGTACTAATAACGTGTGCTTTACAGTATTTTTTATTTTTTGACAAAATATTTTTGTTTATTAAGACATACAATATCTTAACCTGTAAACTTTAAAATAAGGTCTTTTCATTTTTTAATAGCATTTGTCACGCTTCAAAGTAAAATTATTCAAACTTATAGCACTATTTTTGATTTTAAATTTAAGATCATGTTATTTTTTTACTCAGAAAAATTATATACTGAATTAAACTAGCATATAGTTTTGTACATCAAATAAAAGAAATCATTTATGTATTTACATCAAAATGTACTCTTTTATATTTTATAAGTTGTTCAAACCATGTGTTCCCAAATCAACTAATTGTCTTGATTAAACAGAGATGTTTAAATGTATGTCTACAATGTACAGTTTGTATTTTTATTTTAAAATAAAAAATTTGTTCGTTTTAATTATTATGTTTCTTATCATGTCTTACGTTATTAGTATTTAGTTATAACAGCATTGTAAATGTTGTAATTTATAAATCAATCATTAATTTTACAAATTTAGATAAAGTAAATCAAGTGTGTTTTAGTTCATAATTATTCGTAGCCCTTGAATTCATTATTAGGAAAAACATAATTAATCATGATCTATATTATGATGAAAAATTTATATTAAAATATAGAATATAACTTTTAAAGAATTCCTTTTAACTGGCAATCATTATTCAAGTGTTCCAAGGAAGTAACATGAATGTATCAATACGTATTGCATTAATAGTTAAGTACCTATTCAGAACATGAGTATGATTAAGATTATTTTTTATCGAGTTGATGTCCACATTGAATAAGTTCAAATATAAAACTGAGAATATTAAATTTAAATTGCTACATTATTTCTGTGTCAAATTTTATGTTTTAGAAAAATAAATAACTGCTTTATATTTTGACTTAACTTGGTTATTATTTAAGCATAAAAAGAATCATTAAGCTAAAAAAATTAGTGTAATAAATAATATTAACTATTTAAAATACAAAAATTGATTATCAAATTGGTGTAATTATTTAAATGGACTGTCGTTTATTCATGATAATAATCTATATTATATAACAAGAATATTGAGTAATTTTAACTAATGAGTCGCTGTTTAAACACTTTAAATTTATTTTAGTGAGAAGGAAGTTACCAACTTAGTAACTAACTAATTTGACTAACTTGCCTAGACTTTGAAACAAAATTATACATCATTTTGAAGATATCACAAAAACATTAATTGTTGTATGAGCTATTTAAAAGTTTTATGATTTTTACCACAGTAACACGAGAGTGAGAAATCAAAACATTGTAAATATGCAAACGACAAATTCACATCGACAGTTTTTAAACAGCTTTTTATAATGTATAGGACAGCATTAGAATTCTTAACTTCTCAGCGCATTGAAGCTAAGCACAGGTTTCAGACTTCTGCTACAGTAATAGAATATTGTTTTAATAAATAGGTACAGCATTTAATTTCAAAAATATATAATCAAATTCAAAAACACGTGTAACAAGAAATATAAATACGTTTCTTTATGATAAATTACATAAATAATTATCAAATACAATAAAAATATAATTTAACTAGGTATATAATGGTAGTTTACTTGTTACAATATACAATATGTATATAAAAAAAATATATTATATTATTTTGGTCTCTACTGACACCATGTATATATATTTATATGTTGTTTAGGCAAAAACACTTTGGACGATAATAAGTCTGTTGAGTAATACAAATTAAAAATTTAATTTACATCGTAAAATCTACAATAGAATAACGTATAAATTTTCAATGATAGAACAAAATTGACATTTTCTTCTCATTTTAAGTATATAATATATAATAATAAATAATAAATATCACATGGTCGCTGCGATACCGATACAAAAATTAAATGCCGCAAAAACAACAAAAAAGCAACACTTTTTCATCATACCGTAAGTATAGTATAGTATAGTATAGTATTATATATTATAATATATAAATATTTCCTAAAATATGTATTATGTTAAATAATTTTAGTTACCGTTCAATAATTGTAATGTAAGTAATAATTTCGTTTGAATTCACAGCAAGCGATGAAATTTAAGTGACCAAGACATAAGGGGGAGGAGTACTTTGTGCTACGAATTTCGTTCGATTGACTATAAAAATATAAATAAATTAACGTACACAATACATTCATAATATTATATAATATACACAAAAATCGGATTGTATATATTTATACATATAATATTAATGATACAGTCGAGAATGATTTTTTTCGCGTGTTGGTGTTGTATCTATGTAATATACATATAGGATTCCTGTTTTTTCGTCCATCGCTAAATGTCCCGTTTTGAGGGAGGAACTAAATGATCGGGTATTTCGACGGGCAAATCATGCCCGCTCAGCTTCACTTGTATCAGATGCATTGCCAACGCAAATTCGTCCATGTCCAAGAAACCATCACGGTCGATGTCCGACAACTTCCATATTTTGCCCAGAACAGAGTTAGGCAGTTTCGATTTGACCATTTCGGCTTTGGCCACTGCGAAAAGAATGACAAAAACTTGGTTAGATCATTTGACGTTCTCTGATGTGAAAATAATCATTTCCACTTCGACAAAAAGGTTAATGATTAGAAAAGACAGGATAATAATTAAATTTTACAAGTTAACAAGTTTTAACTTTTTAACTGTACAGTTTAAAGTGGTTTTAAATTATTTCAGTATGCTTAATTCATTTTTGGCAAACCTACCTATTTTATCAATTTTTTAAAATATTTTTTCAAGTTAAAATAATTTCTTACCTGCTCCCGACAATTTTCCGTCGGATTTTTCCAGTGTGTTGAACACTGCGTCGTATTTCTGCCGTTCCTTGGCCACCACCCAACCTGTTTCACCTTTGCCAGCGTCGATACCTTCTCCTCTTTTGTACCCAAACGGGCTTGCTGTGTCTTGAACGCTCACGAACGCGCCTCCTACAAAGTGAACACGAATGTGGTCGTTAATAATTAACATAAATAATATAATATTATTGAAGGGGCCACTAAATACATAACAAATAGTAAAGTTGAAACGCTTAAAACACCCAAGACGAGGATTATTGATTAGTATATTATAATGTTTTATAGTCTACTCGAAATATGAAACGAGGATTAAATTATTTAAAAATAAATAGTAACTTTTCAAATAATTACGAGCCATAGAGGTTCAGACCAAAGCCCGGGTCAATATAGGATCGAGTCCTGTACCTTTCCTAGTCTGGTCAGCTTTCGCCTTAGGGTTTTTGCTCACACTAAAGGAAGGTGGTATTTTACTATTCTAGCGTTGGTCCCACAACCACCACGTTGCAGCTCAGGTAGACTTCTTAATCTTGAAGAGCACCAGTTCTCAAACCTAAGTCCAGGACTCGATGGGGCTCCCCTCTCCCGTGACATCGATTAGGTTTTAAGTTGACATCAGTTGGTCAATCCGAGGCAAGCCTCTCCCACTATTTTGGATACCCAGTCCGGCTAGTGGTGGGCCTTAATATATTTAATCACAGTATTTTCTCAAGCATTATACCTACATAATATGATAATGTGAAAAAAAATGTAAAAATAAATACCTTTGACTACCGCTTGCTGCTGCTGCTGTTCAGCGACTCCATTGTCCATTTTACGATTTTGCATGTCCTGCAAAGGAATCATGGCCATCAACTTGGCGATATCGTTGGCAAGCATTTTATCAACTTCTTCTAACAAATGTGGTTTAAGACTTTGGAATTTACTAAAATCTAAATTCACCAGCACATCCTAAAAAAACACCATTGCAAATCGTTCGGTCAATAAAATATGATATTCGTGAAAAATAATACATAAGATACTATAAAATGAAAACGAATTAATATAATATAGAAATCTATGATATTAGTTATTACACACCTGCATTTTTTTTAGATCAGGAAAATCTCCGGGCGAAATCTGTTGTTCTTTCTGGATATTTTGGTAAATAGTGCCAAGGTTTTTGATCAATTCTTTTTTCTTGCCGTCTTTTCTGAAAAGAGCTGGCATTTCTTTATGTAACGCGCTGATTATATAAGCGTGAACCTGTAAAAAACACAACGTTTTTTTTTTTTAATGAAACGATACTGCAATTATTGCTATAGTGACATGCGCCACATTTCGGATATCAATAGTGCACGACGACGTTCGTGCTTCACCAGTAGCAATAATTACTTTGGCTAATCTTGCGCGTTTTATCAAGTCGTTTAGTTTCCTTAATGCCGCGTTTCCCGGCAAAGATTGCAAGTCCTTGAACAAGTCTTGTTCTTCATCTTCAAATAATCTACAATATACAAAACCACTTATTATTACATATTTATTTCCTGCGGGGCGTTAGAAAATTTAAGATCAAAAACCTATTTGATAAAAAAAAAAAAAAATAAAGAATGACATGAATGTTTTATTGGTTTCACTGATCCTTTTTGTTCAGTAAAAAATTTTGGTATGTTATGCATAGTATATTATAGGTATATACATTTTATGAAAATATTAATTATGTACTATACACAAAAAATAATTTATTTTTAATAGGTTTCTACTATAATAATATAAAACTCCACATTAGTATATTAATATATTATGTAAACACGATAGTCAATGAAGTACTCTATTCGAAATTTAAAACATGTTTTATACAAACTAAATGATAAATAATAAGTAATTGGTCTCAAATTTAAAATAATAACAAACAATTCTGCAGTATTGTGATATGTGCTGTATGGTGCATATTATTGTTATTTGTTTTGTACAAGTTATAAACGGCCGGTATTCAGACATTCTTGTTCCCCAATTATAACACATTTCCACCCCACCCATCTTTGAGTAATTTATGTCCTACTTTCATTATTACATTGTTTTTTAAAGTTGATGGATACGTTTGCGATTTAAACGGTTTAAAAATAGTGGCAAAAAAAGAGAACATTGATTGTTTTTGACTTTTTAAAAATAAAAATAATAAATCATTTAAGTGTTAACACTAATTTTCAGTCAATTTTGATATTTTTGAAAATAAATGTTTTATTTATTTTATTAATCTTAAGCTTTAACTACGGTTTTTATGCTATTTTTATATGAATATATTATAAAATAAGATTTTGAATAATTTGTGCTTTTCAACTGAAAAAAAAATGTAAATTATTTGTAGATATTATAGGTAAATATATGTTTTAAACTTTAGTTTGGTTCTCATAAGAAATGTGATAACATCTTATGGTCGGCAATTGGGACCGATTATTTCATATTGAATTTCCCTAGTATTTTGTACTGTTATATATTTTTCATTGAATCTGAATTCAGTGATTATATGTTTCACAGTCTATAAAAAAAAATAAATACTTTTTCAATAGTTTGAAATATTTATAGCAAATTATATAATTTTGTAAAAACGTATGATGGTAAAATACCTCCACCGATAAAACACTTTAAAAATACAAAATTGACTGATAATAAGTGTAATAAATTAAATGCATCAATCTTGAATTTTTATAAATATTATACGAGTATCATTTATTACAGTAGATATTTAACAGGTAAAAATAATAATATCTAGATAAATGCATAATAATATTCTACAAGGAAAGTCTAACATCGTTCATTTTTCGTTTTATTGTTCATTTTACAGTGGAATAAAGATAAAACAATGCATCAACAATAATTGTGATTTGTGACGAACGGACAGATGATTAAAAATTACACAAGCAAATACAATACAGTTAATCAAATTCAAATAAAGCAACTATTACTAATAGTAATTTACTATAAGTAAATAAAATTATAATTCCTAATTGTAACCTACGCGTGTATTTCATACAGTTGTAATAAAAATATAATTAATGTAGTTTAAAAATGATTTACATGAAAAAATAACGTATGGATCATATAACAATTATTTATAATTTCGATGAACTTTTATAAATGCGATGAAAAATACTAATATTTCTTGGAATAAACATTGTAATAGAAGTATTACTTCTTCTAGGTACTCATATTATTATTGACTAAAAATGTTAAATGGTTACAGTATGCTTCTGTAGTAATTCAAATCTATAAGAAATATAAGCCAAAATCATAATTATAATAATGTTATACATATAGTGTATTAGCATAGTTATAAATGTTATAATATACACAAACATAAACAAACACTTCTGGAAAACTAATGCAATAATTATTTCCGAACAAAAACAGGGATGTCTTTAAGCTATAATAGATTATCTTCTTTTACACGCATCATCAGTTTTGCTGTAGATTTTATGTTATGTGTATTAATTATTTAAAAGTATGTTTGCAATTATTATAATTTATTTAAGGGTCTCGATCATGAAAAGTTGAGAACAAGACACGTGAGTTATAACAAAATATTATTTTTTCCTCGCGTGTCTTATACAGTATAGTTTGAAAAAAAAAACACTCAAGGCTAGGGTAACAAATAATTATTTACATAAGCATATTTAGATACTTAAGTTCATCACTCCTGTAATAAAAGTTTTCTAACAAATTTTCATTACATTATTTTCAAAGGGCGCCATTTATTTTACACCGTATCGCACTTATAGATATACAAAGTTATGTGTTAAGTATAATATACAATATGTACAATATGAAATAGAATTCAAATTTAAGATTAAAGGTTCAGTGGCAACAATTAAGTCTATTATTGGGATTATAATTTTTAAATTCACATTTTAGTGTTTTACATTAAAATTAAAATACAGATATTAAAAAAAGAATATTCCATAATAAACTTATTCAACCTAATCTCGAATTTATAATGAAATAAATTATTTATCTTTATTTTTTAAATATTTTAATCCAACGAAATACATTCGTTCAAACAATTTATGGGTTATTAATCCATTTATAAAACCAGGCAAAAATGTATTATCGTCATTAAATGAATAAAAATTAATTGAGTTTAAATTCAGACAAAGGATTGGAACAGAATTTCATAATAACAAATACATACGTCAATTTTGGATCAAAATTCAAAATGATTAGGTATCTCGCACTAACTAACGAGACTTCAAAAAAAAAAAAAATGTATTAATTTTTCAACTTCATATAGGTACTTATGTGAAACTGGATTTTCGACGATGATTACAATAAATTAAAAAATCGTTTCAAGATAAGTTTAACCAAATCTATAAAACCAAGGATTGATAAAATAATTTCTAATAAACAACAGCATAAAAGTCATTAAATTTAAAAAATATTCACATATCTACATATAATGTTCACTTAAAAAAATAATAAATATATTTTAAATGTTAGTTCTATGAACTTATTATTTTAATTTTAATAAAATAATAACCATACTAATTTATTGCTATATTTGAATATTATAGTAAAAGGATGCCCAAAATCTTGGTGAAATTATAGGAAGTCACAACCTCAATAAGATTGAGAACCGTTGAACTAGATTGTCGAATATTATTTTTATTAAACAAGAAAAGTTATGGAATCAACAAAATCGTATAAAATCAGTTTGCTTTCTTAATTAAATAAATCAGTTATAAAACTAAATAATAAAATAATTGTATTATCTATAAAAATACTATTTTGAACTTTTATAGATTTTGGACAAGATAATAGCCCAAATTCAGTTAGCTTGTTATTATTGTTTGATAAATAATTTTCTTCTTTAAATTTTAATGTATTACTATTATGATGGATAATTTAATATGGATAATAAGTTATAAATTGTAGTTGTATGCCCTATAAGTTGGCAATAATAATAGCATTGAATTAGACATATTCATGTTTATCATAAATTACCGAGTTCAATCCAATAAGCAAAAAAAAAATAAATAAAAAATGATCCATTCGTCACTCTTTAGCGAGTAAGTATATCCATCAATGTCAATTATATAAATATTATTATTGTAACAGTTTAACAAAGTTGAATCAATAAAAATTACAACAGCTGATGTCTGATAATAATATTTATCGAGGTTTTCCCCCTTGAATATGATAATTTATAAGCGACATTACGAATTGTTTAATAGTTATTAGCACATAATTAGAATCTCATCATTAAAATATACTACATTAACACCTATATTAGATCAAGAAAGTGCAACTGTTTATTTGTTTGCATTTAAATTGATCAAGCTGTTTAATCGTTATTTTACCAATTTATGTATACAATCATATTATTTTAACAAAATAATTTGGTAGTTTAAATAAATGGAATTAAGTGGCGCAGAACCATCTAACACCTCGTAAAATGTTTGTCCATTATTAATTATTATTTTATGTTTCTACGAGTTCAAACTTTAAATACTTATAAGTTATAACTAATAATTAACTAGTCTGTTAAAGTTCTCAAAAAATATTAATTTAATTAAAAATATTGTTTCGTTTTGAATTTCAATCATGTAAGAAAAATATTGATAAAAGTAAATACAATTTAATATTTCATGCTGTATGTAATAATTACTATTAAAAGAATCACTATGTAGTATACAGATAAGATACGTATAAACAACCAAAAAAATTAGTAAAATATGGAAAATTAAAAGTTAAAACAATTATTTTTATTAGATAAGGATAAAAAAAATAATAATTAGGGCTTGACTCTGTAAACACAGATAAATGTTGTTATAGGTTAAATGTAAAAAATATAACCCTAATAATTAGCAACAAGGATTGAAATAATTGTATCTTATAAAAAAAAAAAACCGCATCAGTTTAATGGCGAATTTTCCGAATTACATAATTATAGTTTATATAATATACATATCTGATTTAAGTTATAACATTTTATAATTTATATGCATAATTATTATTAATATGATTTAAAAAGATCACTCGATAAAAATTATAAAAAATAACGGCACATTCATTTTTATAAATATAAATTTAAGGATTTATTACTAAACAGAAAGTATTACATGAAAGCTGTTAGCATAATATTTTCTAAGTCCCTGTTAACTTCAGTATCTTGTTAAATTTGCAATGTTACTTTAATATACATAATTTAATTTTGTAATTAATAATTTAAATAATTTATTTTATACTTAGAACTTCAAACTTTTAACACATCAAAAAAAATAAACATCGATCTGAGACCTAAATAGATAAAAAAAACACAGTATACATTCAAATAAAATATAATTGATTCGACGTGACAATGGACGTAAGAATATAAAGCCTACAGATATTTTATGAATTGCAGTTCTAGTCACTGACCTTAGTTGTAACTAGTAGTTCTATATATATATTAAAAGGAAAAGAAATTACGGCTATTAGAAAACTCGCATATAGTACCTACTATCTTCTACAGGCTCCACTCGCTTTCTTTTTTAATGTTTTAAAATATAGGTAGATAGTTATATTTCATACAAATTGAGACGTTAATATTCATTAATGATATAGGTGTACTAATATTTGCACATCGTATCCTCGATCACAATGTTTACAAGTCGATGTACATAATAGACGAGATAATAGATAAATATGATATCATAGTCATAAAATAATTTTAATGGTTTATTTCGTTGGTATTTAATAATGTGTGTTTTAAACTCAAGCTCTTGCTTTAATGTTGTAATTTAAACAAACGCCTTGCTACTATTCAAACATTATATTATTTTAAATACATATATTTAATATAATAAATACTATATCATTATTTTTTCATTTGAAAATGTTCCAATGAATGTTTCTAACCCTGAAATTAAAAGTATTCAAATGCAACAAATAATTACGAAAATTACAAACTGACGTGCATTGTGCTCAAATTATGCTTTTAAAATAACTTGTATGGGCGTGACAGCAATTTATCTATTTAATATTTATCCTCTCGCTGTACACTTGAAAACATTAACTATGTTAAACTATTTTATAGTAAATATAATATAAAAATACAAATTTAAATATGAAAGAATGTAAATATTTTTGTCTTATAGATATTTTATTTGTACCGATATCTAATATGTGCATACTTAACTACACTTTAATTAATATAACATGTTTATCTACTCGATATTAATTTGTTTCTATAAATAATATTATTGCATTTAAATCTGTAAAAGACGATAGTATTTAAAAAAAATTATTATGCAATTCAATTAATTATAATATACATATCTATCTACCAAAAAAACACTATCATACAATAATTTTAATTTTAGAACAAACGGCTTTTAAATCTCATTTAATCAAATAAAAGATCATACCTACAAATAATTGGATATTATAAAAGTAATAAAATTAAAATTTTATAAGTAGCTAAATATAAAAGTACATAAATATTTAAATGATAAAATAGACATTAATAACATTATACTAGGTAACTGAAAACTTTCAATTTATTTAAATAGATACAAGTTTATGCCAATTGTACCAAATGTAAATTAATTCAAAATATAAAATATGATAAATTTTTTATTTGAATTAGCTAATACAAAATTTTTGATTAATTAATATTAACATTATTATCAGTAACTAAAAAAATAAGTCACATTTTTTACAAAATTTATTACATTTTTAAAATTTACAAGTGAACTTTCAATTGGTTTGTTACAACTACGATTCAATTAAATAAATTATTATATTCATAATATTGTTTGTACAATTGTACATTGTCAAAACATTTGTTATGGTGAGTAGTATGGTCTTGAAAGTATTGACCCACTAACCTTGTTTATCTACTTAAGAATAAAGAAAATAACAATACCATGGTATATATATATATAAATATAAAATGAATCTCCAATCATTAGAAACTGGAACAATTTATAGCCAATTGTTGTAATGTAAATATAATTGGTTAGTCAATTGTCTTAAACTTAATACCAGATATAGTTTTATTCAGTTTTATTGGTCTAATTAGCATAAGTAACACTAAACTCACAAGAGCATTCTAATTATTCTGGCTGAAGAATTTAATTTAAAAAGAGTATTTATTTTGTAAACAATATGATCAACTTCAAATGAATCTAATTATTAGCTTAGCAATCTTTTAGGTACCTACAGTATTAAAATTTAACCAAATGTAACATAATACTAATACAATGAAATTTTCACATACTCATATCAATTAAAACAATTAATTTAATGACTTCATAACATATTTAAGTACAAGCATATGACTTATAGATAATAGTTTCAATCCATAATTATTACCTTCTGTTGCCATCATATCGTAAAGGTTGGTCCCAAAATGATCCAATATAAACCCTGGCTACTTCAGGAGTTTGCAGAACTTTTCCTAAGGACCACATAAGTGCTCCATAAACACGCATCAGTTGTTGGTGATCAATCATATCAGCTTTATTTAAAATAATTCTAATTTTATCATCGTGGCCTCGTAATGCTTCTATTGATCTACGGAATTCATCCGATATGTCCAATTTGTGAGCATCAAACAGCAAAATTATTCTATCCACGTGCTCAGCAAACCATTCTAATACACCGGTAAAGTCATACCCTCTGTCTACTCTCTGTTTTTCTCCTGATAAAATACCAGGTGTATCAACTATTGAGATACCTTTTAGAACAGGCGAATTTACTAAAGAACACTGAAACCGATTGAGGAATGCATTGCCGAATTTTGACAGAGGTCTAAATTGTCGTTTAGGATCTACTACCAACGCGTTGCCAGGAATAATTGATTCATTTTCATCGTACATGACAGCTATAAAACGGTCTGTAGTGGGTTCGGGCCCAATACGGATACCCGGAAAATCGGATTCTAGAAGGTGTTTGATGAACGTAGTCTTTCCCGTAGAGTACTGACCAACTAGCAATATCATTGGTTTGGCGTCAAAGTCGGGATCATCCAGCTGCGGAGAATGGAAATCGTGAAACTGATACGCCAGTTCCAGGGGCAACAATTTGGACTTATACTTCTCTCGTAGCCCGTCCAAGACGGACTCGTACGTTTCGATCTTTTTGTTATCATCTTTCCTCAGCCAGCCCAGCATGATAAGTCGATTCGCATAAACGAAAATAGGTATTCAAGGCACACACTCGTACGTACGGAAGCACCGACACCGATTCACAATATTATACACCGTTGTCATGCGAACACCGCAGACATGATTACAAACGAAACGAATAGTGAATACTAAATGTCAAATGATTAATGAACCTGCCAGATTGCGTTGTATTTGTATAGCGACGGTGGCAGATAATACTGCGGCAACGATAAAAAAAAAAAAAGAAATCGTAACTATAACAGTGTAACGACTAACAAGTACCCAATCGCCAATCGGTACACACTACACACTAACTTCACAGTTTACAATTTACACTGCATAGTGCATAACAACCATTGAGTAATAATACTGTATAATAACAACACTGTCGCAGTGCCGCGGCTGAGTTGGACATTTGCTTATCAACAGGCTGAGGACCGCGACGCGTCTTATCAAGCAAGTGTACCAAACCACTGAACAGGTTTTTCGCAGTAATACGAATCGAACCGAATTTAAATGCAGCCAAATAATTATTGTATAATAATAATAATAATAATAATTATATTATTATTAATTAGGTACGAATTATTGTTCTTAAAATGTTAGTCACACGATTTTTAACAAAAAATACTAAATGCCGTATTATTGTCATGTCTGACGTGAAAATAGCGATGTGATCATTGTAACCACTACAAAAATACATTAAGTATAATAATAATTATAATTTATAAATAACATCGAGATCTATATCTATTCTAATCTAACCTTATCGAAATTTTTAACGGTTTTTTATACTTTTAGCGATTTGTTTTTATATGAGTTTCAGCCGATGATTATCCATGATAGGATTTCGATAACATAATATATTCATTTTGTAATGAATAACTGTGTGATGTCGTGATGATGATATTGTATCGTTAATTTATACATGCTTATTGCTTATAAATTATTAATTACGAAGATTTAATATACTACCTTTATCACTAATCTATGTATAAATATTTAATCATTTTAATTTATAGAGCATCTTAATGAATTATTTATCATTCGATTTTTGTAATATTTCCAATTGACATTGTCGAAAAAACATTCTATTCTGCAACAACATCGTTGAAAATACCAAATCGATGTTTTTTACTTCTATAGCAATAAAAAATATTTGAAAAACGTGTTTTTCAGAAGAAACTTTTTTGACGTGGAATATCTACATATTTTAAAATTGCTACTGTATAATATATGCCATCGAGCTGAACTTAATTTGTTGAATCAAATACTGTCTATTTTTCTTTATTTTTAATAATTTCATCTCTTAATATTTTTTTTATAAATAATAAATATTGTAGATACGTACTTAAAATTTGACGCCTATTTGAGAGTGTCCCACCCACATTTGTTCTTTTCATCTTACAAGTGCGTAACAGCAAATTTACGTTCAGCCGTTAACGTTAATTTTAATCTCATAACAAACCGATCTATTATATCAAATGTATAGGTAACACAAATACACAATTTATTGTCTATATTTTCTGTAACGGTTAATTCGATACCTAGGTATTTTTATTTTGAAGCTAAATAAATTTGATAACAAATTAATTAACCAAAATGTATGAATCTAAACGTGATCTTTCATATAGTATATTTACAATAATAATTAATAAGTAGTGCTTTCTGTGTTTGCAAGACAAGCAGAGTAGAGTGAAGCGGAGCTAAAAACAAATACGGGAATGGCGTTTTCTTAAATCCGGCTCTCCTCTAATTGTGTAAAATATAATATATTACAATATTGTTGTTATATACTAACTCAAAATTAAATTACATTCTTAAAATAATTTTAATTTAATATTAGTGATACTCATAAGGTGATATTAGAAATATTATTTTAATGCATATTAATTATGTTAAAAGTGTAATAATTAATAGTAGGTTGTAGATATAGTTTCAAATCAATATATAATTACAATTTCCGTGTACTATCGGGTATTAAGTGAGGCTCAGTAATCAGTACCTATTTCTCCATGTAAGGAAAATAAAATAAAATAAATAAAGATTTATTGATCCATTAATTGATGAAACCGTTAATACAGGTATCTATATATATTATACACTATATAAGCACTGATTATTGATTAATAATTTACTATAATATTTTAATCCAAACGTAAACATATTATTATTTAATCATAAATTATAAATATTATATCTAATCAGAATACTATATAATATAATATATTTATACATGTATTCTGTTAAGTACCCATTAACAATAATAATACTCGAAAAGATCAAGGAATAATACAGGACCTCGGAAGCACCTACTTAATATATGAATCATAATATTCAATTAGTCATGCAATATTTGTAGGTAGTTAAGTAACTTTTAAATGAGCTTCGCATATTTCAACATAATTGCAGAATAGCATTTCCTTAATTCGTATTCGTATTCAATAATTTAATCATTATCGAACTTATATGAGTTAGTGGGTCATTAAACCACTTCTAATTAATAATATCCGTTTATGACTAATATAATATATGAATAACCAATAGATATTTATTTTACAAATATACATCTAATTAATGCTCTGCATATTTTGTTCGTTCTATCTATATTTGATATATATATTGTATCAAGATATTTTTATGAGAATGACCAGGGGCGAACGCAGGAACATTTCTGGGGGGGGGGGGGGGTGAAAAATTTAAAGTAGGTATTCATTAATATCATATTATTCATATTGTATTACACTTAAACTATTTATTTTAGGCACTTATACTATACAAATTATACATATTATACATATTATATATCATATAGATTAATAATTAATTATTAAAATTTGTTAATTCAACGTACATCATCAAATTGGCAGCCACCGATGTCGATCATTTATTAATAAATTATAACATACTGTCATACTTATCATACAATTTAATGGTAATTTTACTGTATACATTGATTTAAAAACCACAGGAGAAGGGAAACTTTTAATAACTTATAATTCATTTAAATTTTTTTGAAATTTTATTAGTAATACATTAAATGTATTACTAATTATGTAAACAAATTTTGTAGATTAGATAATTTATTTTTGTACCTTCTATTTCGGGGGGTAAACCCCCCCCCTCCCATCAGCTTTCGCCCCTGAGAATGACAGTTTTTCATTAAACTGAGCTTCGTTACATCACGAATGCCGAGTTGACTGTATAATATAACACCATAATATAATTATCATTGAACAATTTTTATTGACTTATGAGTTATAACTTATAAGTTAATAATTATAATAAGTCAACATCATATATTGCGTAAAAATATGTAAATAAGTTTGTTGAATAAAATAGTGTTAAAGTTAAATTTAGGTTAAGTATGTTGAAAATTACATTTCATATAAAAAATAATAATAATAACGATATACGCAGATAAGTATAATGGCAAAAAGTTTGATTTCTAAAATTATTAAATATTTTTTTATTTCAATAAAATAACTAAAATCAATATATTTGGCAAATATTTTTATCCAAACTCATCAAAATTTGAATTAAAAAGATTATAAAAAAATTTTTGGATTTCTAAGTAATTTTTGCAAAAAAAAAAAGAAAACCTCATGACGGTGTACAAATTAAAAACGCAATGTATTTTTATCTACAAAATAGATTGCTAATTTTCGCGATTTCGATGGATTTCTTCAAAATTTAAAATTTGAAAGTTTATAAAACCAACTTAATATACATTATATGTAATGTGACTATTTTCGATTTTTTTTAAATTTATTGCTGCATGTAAAACTTGTGAAGACATTGTACTTATTTTTCAAACTTTTTTATGTATAAATAATAATATACTTAGGTAAGTCAAATAAATAGGTAGGTACTCAAAAAGTCAAAAATTAAAAATGTCTAGATAGCTCAAGATAGAATAAAGCCAAAATATTTTTAAAATTTTATCATGATTATAAATTGCTATTATAAATACTTATACTCAATAAAAATATCAAGTCTTTATAATTATTCGTTTTGAATAATTACAATATCGCTTTTAATAAAAATTGCTTTTGAGTAGATATACCCATTTTTTATAATGTATTTGTTTTTTCTTATTATTTTATTAAGTATCTACTGCTAACTATGAAATTTTTAAATAAAAACTAGCTATAATTTACTATGAGAGATTTTAGAGATCTCTTTTGAAGTTAAAAATCGAAACATATTTTCTTAGAATTAAAAAAAGTATCTTCTGCAGAGCTCAGGTACAAAAAAAATATGTACAAAAAAAAAAAAATTATATAACCGACATTCGTTCTTAGTTTTGCTCGGAATGTAGAATTACGAGTTATAGGTATATATAGGATAAGGATAACTGGTTATTTTGAATTTTACCAGATATTTAACATCTATATAATAAATAATAAAATTTGGTTTATTGTTGTATCACAATATAACATCATCACTTGAAAATATTGACCACAAAATCATTAAAATAATAATAATAAATTATTACTACGTAATATATTGAAACAGTTACTATAATGTGTTTTTCAATAAAGTTTTCATTATCTAAGAATATTAATAAAATATAATAGATATATAGAAAAATAACGTATACATGGTAAAAATGTATAATAAGCTCGTTTATGAAAGATTTTGATTTTCCAAAAATCAGTTAGGTCACTAGCGACTAGCCTACTAACGCATACACAATATTTTAATATTTTTTTGTATAAAAATAATTTTATGAAATAATATATAATTGAAAACACTTTACAAAAGTTTATACGGCTTAAAGTTCTTATGGTTTCTTTGAGTAATTTGAAGGATTATGGTTCACTTATCATTTAATATTTATAACATTGCGGAGTTATTAAGTTTGAATATATTACAAAAATATTATTATTATTATTATTACTTATTACCTGTATACTTAATACTTATTAATTAGTATACATTATATAGTTTATTATTAAATATGTTAAATAAATAATATTCAATGACCTATTTAGTGTTTACCATATAGTTAACAAATAACAGAAATGTAGGTGTAAAGAATACATTGCATGTGACCATGATAATTAAATAACTATACAATATAATTGTAAAAAACAATTATTTAATATTTCATAAAAAATAAGCGTTCAACATGGAATGAACAATATTTATATGAAGGATCGTTAGTAATCTTATTGTACAAAGTGTTATAATTTATAAGTATTATATTTTTAATTTTAAAAATGTAATGTTATTTCTAATCTATTTGATTGCAATTATGGTATAGTGTTAGTAAATGTTGATGTATTGAAAGTCATAAAAAAATATACTTCGATGTACTAATATATACAGGAAATTACCTATGAACCGCATAAAACTCCTCGTGATATTGTATTTTATATACGTAATTAATAAATAAATTGTTATAAACTTAAAAATTATAATATTATATTATAACTATATTATTAATACTTTAAAATTTTGATAAAAACACATACGATGTATTGATACAATTCATATAATATTTAGATATTATTCTATTTTTTTTTTTAAATATTATACACACTTTAATATAATATGGTCACTAGTTATATAATAAAACAGTTATAATTTATAAGGCATACTAATTTGAATTTTTTCAAAATATTGGAAAATATCTGAAATGTTAAAAATAATTTTTTCTATGATTGATGATTATTTACATTTTTAACTGTATTTCTTCGTGGATAATCTCAAAAAACAAAAAAAAAAAAAAATAAAAAAAATAGGTAATAGCTTTTAATACTGAATTAATTTAAAATACTTATAGCTAGGTAATCATAATGCTTCCACGAATCAAATGATATATTTAAAATAAATTATAAATTACAATTTAAATTATCTTCTGTCAGTATATAAATATAAATACCAGTTATGTTTATAAATGTATATGTAGGTATGCTTTATAAATAAAAAGTTGTTTAATAGGTAGTAACGTAGTATAGAAATTGATAACCTGTGAGTTATGAATGTTAGGTACCTATATGCTTGTTAGTTGTTATAAAATATTGGGATAGTCAGACATGTAATAATATACAACCTAGCAAGTAGCTATACATAGATGAATTAAAAGGCCAACTATTATTTTTAACTTTAAAAGTATTTTTAGAATTTTTATATAACTGTTTATAATTTTATACTCTTTATTAAACAAAAATAAAAATATATACTATCTCTTTGGATCTAGTAAATATTAGTAATATACTAATGTACGCATAATGACAATGGATTAAGTATTTAGTGCTTATTATAGTACATCAGTACCTATATAATAATTAGATATTTAAATAATTATATTATAAATAAAGTATTTCAGACTTACTGTTTGGCATTTGCTATTAAATTTAGTACCTAATGACAAACAAATACACTAAGAAAGTTAAATTATGCAACTACAATGAACTTATGATAAGAGTAAAACAGTATGAGTTTAGTATGTATTTAATATTGTATTTAAATAGATATCACTCAGCACGTAATATATATGTTTTAAATTTAATCATTATATATACATATACTAGATCTACCAAAAAATGATTATGATCATTGATTAATTAATATACAAAGTTGTGATTAAAATTCTGTTAAAACCACAATGTATTGGATACTTAATAATTTTCTTAAATATTAGAAATAATAAAACGGCTTTACTGTAGTAGTTTTTTCATATTTAAATGCTAATAGAAATCAAAAATAATAGATTTCCTGTTGTATAAATTAATAAAAATAAATTATTTACCTATAAAGAAAAGTTATGATGATGTTTTATTTTTTTTGTTCCCATAAATATCACACACGCAAAAAAAGATTATATAGTTTTACACTTTTACTTTTCTCCGCTAATTTATTGACTGTCTATAATTATTAATTGAATGTAATTTAGTGAGTTATATACTATTTATGATGAATATTGAACAACGCATTGAAGTTTAAAAGAGTTCTCTCTTCTAAAATGGTCTAAATAATATGATATATATTCGAGTGAAAACTACTTACAAATTATCTTTGCTAAAAATACTAAAAAACATATAAATTTATGATACATTTTCGCATATATCTTTTAGTGGTTATGTGGTTGAAGTAAATTTCTGGGCGAGGAAGTGAAGTTTTTTTACTTTTTATAATAGTTTACAAATAATAGTTATATATAATGAAAAAATATTACTATAAGGACGAATGTATGGTAGTTTACCAAGTATATTCTACCTCTTTTTATACTTAAAGATCATATCTTTAAAAATTTCAAATATTTGGATTTTACATAATTTAGGAGTGTCCTGTGGCAATAAAAACCTGTTTTTATGTAATGAAAATTGCTTATTTTAACTGTAAACTCTTAAGCATATAATTTTTTTTTTTTTTTGAAAATGTCAATACCTAAGGTTAAATCGGGTAATTTTTGACTTTTGAGTAATTGAGCTTTATATAATAAGATCTAGGTCTAACCTATGAGGATAATAATATATTATTCTTTATTCCTTAATAATGGTAAATATAACATAAATAAAAAATATATTTTATGTTATACTTATTCGTAAGTACTCTTAATACTCTGAAGATTTTTACGAATTATAAAATTTTCTTACAGATACCTACCTACGATTATTAATAAATTAGTTAGGTATTATATTTTTAAAATCGTTATAGCCTATCTTCGAATTCCATTAACATGACTTTATGATGCCTAAGTATATTTCACAGAACTGTTCAATTAAAAAAAAATTATAAGCTCTTCAACTGCCTATGTTGTCATTAAAAATGTGAGGAAATGGATTTTAATCTGCTGTATAGTAGGTATCGATTGGGTCACTGTGTTCAAAGCGAAGACGATCCTTTAGCCTATATCAACTTAGTATTTTCTTGTTTTTTGATATTATTAAAGTAATTTTGTTTACTATTAGTATTAGGTAGTTAATATAGAAAACATCACATTTATTATATTATTAATACTTAAATATTATGATTATAATAATTAATGAATATTGTTTTTACTTTATAATTATTGTAATTAATTTTTGAGTTAATACCAAATGTTATTTTAAAACACTGAATAGTTTCATGGTTTAAATAGGTAATATCTTAAAATGAATCTCAATAATTTGAAAGTATCTTTGCGTAAAGTAAAATTGATAATACATGCAAAAGTCTAAAGTCAAAATGAATAGGTAATGATTTTAAATTACAACAAAATAATGAACATTGATATTTTTCGTTTAAATATGAATACTTTCATTCAAATTTGAACTTCAAATGTCCATAAAAAATAATTTTCTTTATACATTTTTTAGATTTTTTAATTACATCATGAAATACTTAAGAAAAGTATTGTATTTGGTTTTCAAACCTTAGCTATAAAAATTAATGATTGTATTAATATTTAATTGTTGACTACAAAATTCTTATACTAGAAATATTTTCGTGATTTTGACGAAATTTTATAAAGATTGGAACTTCTAAACTAAGTAAACAAATTGTGTCTAAATATTTTTTAAATTTTTATACAGTTATATAAGAAAAAATTTAGTAGAATTTTTATTAAATATTCAATACATTTGTTCAATCGAATAATTTTTTGTCGTCATCATTTATATAGATAAAAATTTTAAATTTCAAATGTCTATAAATAGCTTAAAAAGAGTCAAAACATTTAAAAAATAGTACTATGGATAGATAATGTAAAAATTATAGGTTATTAAGTATCTGCAGTTATTTATTTTTGAATGAAAACGGAAAATAAAATTAATTTTCCCTTTATTCCCATATCAATTATATCCTGTTCTATTAGAAACTACCCTCAAAAAAATTTAAGCATATTTTGTAATGTTCTAAAAGGGTGACGAATACTGAAAAAAGGCACTTTAAAAAAAATAAAAAATAATTTTATTTTCCATGTTATTTTAAATAATTCACATTTTTGTAAAAGTGTAAGACCAATTCAACCAATTCGTTCATAGCTCCTCTCAGAATTTTAAGCAGTTATGAAATTGGATGGAAAGTACCATCGTTTTAATGTATTATGGATTTACGGTTGGTCACATCGCTTTGTTGTTTTGTTATCACCTATCAAGTTTGATAAGACCTATAAATGTTTAGAACAATGATCACAGATATGAATTTCTCTATATTAAATTTTTGAATTTTTCGTTACAAAATTGCAATATTTTCCAATTATTTCTCTACTTATTATCGTTTTTGAAATTTATGTGACCGTATTATTTCACTGATATGTATAAAAGACTGTTTTTTTTTCATTTATTGTAATTAAATTATAGTTTAATTCTAGTAAAAAATCTTTCTACTTATGAATTTTAATTATTTAAAATGTCGCAGAGGGCTGCAAAAAAAAAAACTCGTCAAACACCAAATCCATTGTTTGAAAAATGGATTTCAGAATGGTTAAAAGAAGCTACTGATAAAGGTTTAGAAGTCCGACATGGTTATCAACGTGTGAGTTGTATAGTTTTTTAAAATTTAGGCTACTGAAATCAATATTTATATTAATTACCTATATAATGATTTCTTTAAACTTTAAATTCTAAAATATACCCATGTTTACATATTTATATGCATTGAGACTAAACAATAGGGAACTGTGTAATGTATTAAACTGTAAATATAAGACTTTTATTATTTTATAGTTATATAACTTATAAATTGTATATTATCTACCTATATGTTTTAAAATTTAAAGAAATTATATAAATATATGTGCCATACCATTAAAAAATATAATGCATCTTTGTAAAGTAATTATTTTGAAAATTCTTAATAATTTATATATTATTATAGGCATTAAGTTCATTGCGAAAATGTCCATTGCCATTTAAGAGCGGAAAAGAATGTTTGATTCTAAAATTTTTTGGTCCAAAGTTATGTGCTAAATTAGATAAGCAGCTCGAACAACATAATCAGCAGATATCTACAGTTTCAGGTAACTAATAATTATCTTTTGTTATCTAATTATTCTGTTTACATAACATGTCAATATTCACAGATTTAATAAATGATATATTTCAGATGAAGGTATTAGAGCTGAAATTTCTAAAACTACAAAAGATGTGAATGTTTTAAAACCTTCAACAAGTAACCAAAATCAGAATTCAATAATTTCTCTAACTCATAATGATATTCCTGTAAGTATATAAAAAAAGAATTAGGTAGAGACTACAGAAACCCACCATTAAAGTAAACTCTAACTTTTTGTAGAACTCTTGAATTATAAATTTAATAAAATATAATATAGTACTATAATTAATCTTATTCTAATGGTATTATGTTTTTTATTATATTTATGGTCATATAGATTTTTTTAGATAAAAAAATAATTTATATTATATACCTATGTTATAATTGAATTTTTTTGAAATAGAAAAATAACCATACTGTGGTAGAAAAAGAGAAGATAGTTATGTGGCCAAATGAATTTACTGTCGTGTTATTAATTGATACAGGTGAATCTAGTAGTTTACGGTATGTATATTGTATATGCTTTAATAATAGTATGTTCCAAAAAAATTTGTCTCATTTATTGATACCTATTTTTATACTAGAAAAACCAATGTAGACAAAGTCATTTCAGAATTGTCAGCTTTAAACGTGATCTTTGAAATGAGACGATTAAGTGTTGGAGATTTTGCTTGGATTTGTCGTGATAGAAGTGGAAGAGAACTTATGTTACCATATATACTAGAACGAAAACGATTAGATGATTTATCAGGTAGCATTCAAGACGGCCGTTTTCATGAGCAGAAAGTAAATGCATTTTTTATGAAATAATAATATTTTTCTTTAGGTTCTATAAATCTTATTTTTCATAGTTTAGATTAAAACAATGTGGACTTGAAAATAAAATATATTTAGTTGAGAACGAAAAAAAATATCATGGATTACCAATATCACATTTACAACAAGCATTAGCAAACACTGAGGTCATAGATGGGTTTACAATTGTGAGAACGGATAATCATTTAGAGTCTATGAAATATATTGCAAACTTTTCTAGTATACTTACAAATATGTTTAAGGTATAGCTGTCTTACTTTTTTATATAAATCAATTTATTTTTGAAATTTATAGACATTTTTATATTATTTACAGGACAAAACGCTCACAACTCGTATTGATGAAATAGATTCTGGCTATGGAAACTCAGATATTGTAAAACTTATATCTTTTAAAACTTTTTCCTCAAGTTCTGCAAAAAACAAGGTATGTTAATATCATACAAAATAATTTTAATTTTTAATTTTCTATGATATGAGTAATGTGGTGTTAATTGTTTAGAACATGACTGTACGAGATATGCTGATTCGGCAATTACTTCAGATCCGAGGTTTATCTGTTCATAAAGCATTTGCAATTGTTGAGCAATACCCTAGTCCAAAATCACTTATAAATGCATTTAGAAGATCAGGTAATCCACTCTTATTGTCAAATATATCTTATGGTATACCAATCAAAACTATCGGTCCAGCCATCAGCAAGACATTGTTTCAAGTATACTCTGCAAATGATAATCGTGTTTAAATTATAATTGTAAAGTTTAAATAATGAAATTATGGATACTTATTAGGTAAATTTTTCTGTGAAAATAATTTTAGTAATAAAAATAAATGTGTTTAATAAGTTTATATTTAAAATATAGTCATTTTTGATGATGCTATTTAATTGGTGTTTTCTTGAATTTCATTGAGATGTATATACGTTTTTTTTTTGTATCCTCGCCCCTCTCCTTGTCTCCCTCACATGGTATATTATTATATATAATATGTATAAATATATTTATTTACGCCGAGTGTTTGATATGGAATGTCGCCAAACAGTGTGAAATATCTTCCCACACCATAATAATAAAGTCTATTTTTATGCCGTCCAGTTCGCCACTGCTATTCGTTCTATTTTTCTGCGTTTTTAACGAATTTTCTTTCCAGTTAGTCTAGCAAAATGTAATAAACACAAGTATACTTAACTATTATTTTTGTTTTTCTCGTACAATTAAATCGTAATTTGTTACCATTATATTCAATTGATGTTAACATTGCGTTTGTTGTCTATTTATATTGTACAGTAGAACATTTTGAATGTCCGGCGGAAACACCCAGAGATTTCGTCCACCGTGGGTGAAAGATGGACCCAACTCTGTACCGAAGGCTACTGTGCCGTGGAGAACCAAAGATAAGACTGCAGCTGCCGTTTCCACCGTCACTGATGACCAACCACCGAACGCAGTATATAATTTTAAATTTAAATGCATATTTTTGCGATGCGTTTTGTTTGATTGCTGCACTTTAAAAAATTAGTGTCCGCTGCATTTTCGCGTAACGTGAACCGCTGTCAAACGATTTGCTTTGACACAAATTTATTATTATTTATTATTTGAATAAATATTATTTTTTGTTACGTCTCATGTCGACAGGCCGCCTCCGACGAAGTGAAACATTTTAAATTGAGAAAAGTCGGACCGTCAGAAGGCAGAAAAGTTACCGAAATAAAAATCGTTCCCAAAGTAAGAAAACAATTTATTATAAGTTATATACCTATAATAGGTATAAATGGTACAGTTGTACTTTCACTTATAGTTTTCTTAAATTATTTGGTATAAGTAATTTTAAACGGTTTTAAATTTCGATTTCGACAAAATTTCGACATTAGTACAATGATACTATGTATAATATATTTATAGTGCGTTTTGGAAAGGCGATCTGATGCATTATCAGGCATATTATATGTATTTAAAATGCACTTAAAAAAATTAAGTCATGACGACCTTATTTATAGCATACTGCCCACGTAAAAAACACGGGTAATTAGTTTAAAAAATATATAATTTATTTAATTATAAATGGTATTAGCTATAGGTATAAACCGAAATAGCTTGTTCATACAAATGAACCGAGGAAATAGATTGGTAATAAAAATGTAATATACAAAGTTCGAATAGACATCGACAGAAATAGTTAAAATATTTAAAACAAAATAATAGTGTACAGAAAAACAGTTTAGTATTAAAGTTAGTTTTTAAAGCGTAAAACGGGACCAAATTGGTAAACTGTATAAATTATTAATTAATTATTTCTTAAATGAACTTAAGTTGGCGAAGTTAATAAGACAGAAAATAATTAAAATTGGAACAAAAAACTATTTGTAACCTATTTCTGGTAAAAATACAACTATTATAAATGTATAACCAAATAAATATTTTACAATAAAACCGCAATAGTATCAATAAAATTTATAATTCCTATCACAAAATTATCAATAACTTATAAATTTTACAATTGTAAATCAAAATTGGTCTTTTTGTGAAATCATGTTAATAGATTTACAAGTATAGGTACCTATCGGCTATCGTATAAGTAATTTAGTGTAGACATAATACAATTCAGGAAGATAGGAGTGCATCATATAATTTTGTAATTATTCTACGGCTCTATAGCTTATATAGTTTAAATGATGTTGGTATAAAAGATTTTATTTTTCTTCAGACCGTCAGACCCATACCCAATATAGATAAAATACATTCATATAATATAGTTTTTTTTTTTTATGACTTTTGAGTGATCAATTAGACAAATCCATCAATCATAAAAATCATAAAGGATACTATTTTAAAAGCTTGATATATTGGTTGTACATTTTATTATTATTTCACTAAAAAAGAAAAAAATTATAAATGTAAACAGATATTTAATTGTTTATAGAAAATATATTTTATTAAATTTGAGGTACTTATAATCAAATTTTATTCGGTTTTCTATAACATATTAATATGGGTTATACAGCTTATGTTATATTATTGTTACATCGGTAACACGCCTTGACTTTGTAATTTGAACTTTGAAGAAATCGGATAAATCAAGAATTATTATCATAGCACTTTATAATTAAAAAAGTCGTTGCTATTTAAATGCTGACAGGGAATGTAGGTATATAACAATGGTCATTATTGTGTGCAAATTATGTTATAAATCATAGTAGAAAAAGTGTCTATCATACCTATTCTTATTTATATATTATATTCACCAAGCATGTCACCCCTATTTTTACATTATATATTAAATTTTAAATTCGGATTTATGAAGTTAATGACTATTTTGAAATTATTGTAATTTATTTTAATGTATCTACATCTTATAATTTGTGAAAACAGTTCAAGTATAAAAATTAAGATTTAAGATTACTTATCTACATCTATTTTTATAAAAAAAAACTATTATGTTTAGTATAAATATAGGTATATATACGCCCAATATTTTTTATTCACGCAAAAACTATTTGTTTAAATTTAATTAAAATACTTACACTATGATTAAATCAAAAAAAATGTATCTAATTTATAATTTCACTTAAAAATAGGTTGGTTCGATTGCAGGACACTTCTTCAATTGATAAGAAAATTATTTATTTAGCGAAAATTATGCATAAAACCAGGTACCTGCAATGGATGGATCATGGTATTTTTTTTATTTTTTTTGTGAAACAGTGGAACAAAATATTAAATTAATTCTGTAGTTGCCACCCTTCATCCTTTAAGCTGGACATCCGATGTGAGGATCATTAGTTTCAAATCTCCCATACTCATAATTTTCGTAAGTTGCGAGGGAAGAGAGGCAGTGAGGCATTCATTTTCACCAGTTATTTATTTAAAGTGCATAATATCAAAACATATTAGTATAGTTATTAATTTCTCTTCTGCAGCTGTTAAAAGTTCTATTTGTTTATTTGATTTTGAATTAATATTGACTATCATGATTATCATTAATGCGACCAATATGAGATATTGTATCAAATATACATTTTAAAATGGTATGATATTGCATTGAAAGGTAGGAGTGAGGTTAGTCAAAAACTTGTGGATATATTTTTCCAAAATGTTTTAGCTATAGAATCTTTACATATTTTCTCTCATATTGGCCTTGAGAAATTAACCAAAATTAATTTTATTGTAATAATATAATTGTATTAAACAAGTATGAACTTTTGTTTTTGTACAATCAGATCGATCACCAAGGCCCATTGCAGATCAACAGTAGAGTCGTGCCGATAGCCGTTGCACAAGCACCGGAAAAGGTGATAAAAACGACATCCGAAACTACTACCATGAATTCACCATCATCTAAACCACCGCCGACCAAGGTAGTCCAGGCTCCTGTTATTTCCGCGTCGGCTCCAGCACCTCCTCCACCGACTCTGAAGTCGTCTTCCGCACCGGCACCGCCTCCACCGCCACCAGCACCGGTAATGCCGTCCCGGGCACCAGGGCCACCACCACCTCCGCCGCCACCGGCAAGTTCTAACGGCGGTTTACCACCTATATGTAAGGAATATTCACGATTATGCTAATGTTCAACATTTTTTAAGACTTTTAATCTATGTATAGTATATACCTATACGGTTATAAAATTAAAAAAAAAAAATAGACTATAGATTTGAAGTAAGTAAATATAGTTCTATAGATATTAGATACACTATTTTAGAATTAGAAATGTAATAATTCAAAAAGGTAAATTACTTAGCAGAAAGGGATATAAAGTGTGTGAGGTACTTATTCGCAATCGTTTCGCGTATGTTTGTTTTATTATTACATGAATGTCGAATGATATTAATATAAAAAGCGAATTTAGTTACCTAAATTACCGATCAATATTAGACTTTTTTTTTAAATATACTTCAGTGATAAATTACGATGGGGGGATAGTAAGTACTTGTATAAGAGTATTACAGGTAAAAATTACAAACGATAAATTATACTCCTACAAGTGAGAAATGAATTTCTACACGAATATAAAAATATGATGTATGAATTTCCATGCGGTAAAAAAGATTGTCTAGTAGATAAATACAATATTTTGTTATTGCTGAATTTTCTACACCAGTCTAATTGGAGTACGATAATGTGGATTACGTGTAATAATATAATCGCGCACGCTCATTTCAATAGCTATAGGTAGGTGTAGTGACTATAGATTATAAGTTATAATGATATAGGTAGCTTTTATAAAGCAAACATAAACATGTTATTTTTTAAATACACGTAGAATATTTACGATAATTACGTTAAATATTTTTATGACGATAAAATTAGTGATAAAATATAAAAATCTTGATTTTAGTTTGATATGCATTATTATTTATTACTATACATTAGGTAATTTATCGTAGAATCTAAGACTTAGATATAGTTAAGTTAGTAGTATTGCTAGAAATATTTGTTTGTCCATATATATACGTTTATACTAATCATAAATGAAGTCATAATTAGCAAAAATGTATTCTTTGTGTTCAGTGAAAAAGGCAAAAAACTGCTAATTTTAGTTGATTTTAAATTTTTTTAAAACCTTGCAACTAATAAAAATGAAAATGTATTATGGCGTTTTATAAATAAGTGTATAGTGCTAAAGTATATACTATAAAATACGTTAAAATGTTCAATTAATAAATACAGATAAAATGTGTTTTGACCATAGTCATGTAGAGATGTAGACATAATTTTAAATAAAAACAAATCAGTAATTCTTGTTTTAGATTGCATCAGAAAAATCATCAGAAATATTACGAAAAGAAATATTTTAATATGTTAACGAATGAAATT